TGGATATGAATATATATATATATATATATATCTATATATATATCATTGCGGACACATTTTTACACAACGTTCTCTAGTCCCAAACTAAGCAACGCTTGTACTATGGGTACTAGAAAACTGATAAACATACTTAAACATACTTTTCTTTTATAAATAAATACATATTATAGATATATAAACACCCAGACACTAGAAAAACACTATGTTCATCACAAAATATTTTTCCAGTAGTGGGGATCGAGCCCACACCCTCTGGTGTAAGAGGCAGGGTCACTACTCCCTACGCCAATCGGGTCGTCGAAATGAATGAACTGTATGAATGAAACATGAACGGGAATGAATGGGAACTAAATACGGGATGGGACGCTTCTGCCTATTTGCGTATTTGAAATGGTTGAATGAGATCGGAATCGAATGTGAATACAACTTAATGATAGTAAAACATTCATCTTTCTGTAGTGAAAATCGATAATTCGTAATTTTTTAACGAAGGGACTCTCTTGCACCATCCCATTATATCAAACAAAGTTATATCCCTGGTAGATTTTTATATTTTATTAGAATTAAATAAGTTTGAGTTATTACTATAATTTTTAATAATGAGAACATTTATTTTGTCTCATTCTTTTCTTTTTTAATTACTACACATTTGTGTCAAAATAAAAATGTCCGCTTTTTTTTTTTTCAACTTTTTTAAACATGAACGGGAACTTGCAATTTTAAGGCCTATGATCCATGATGATCGATGACCACCTGAAAAAGGTCCATCACCTTAGGAACTACAATAGGAGCTGACTTTATCTTTTTAAACAAATCTGTCTAGAGTGTAACGTGCGTGAATAATAAGTTTTGATTTCTAAAGTTATAGCTCAGGGTCCAGGCGCTCCTTTTTAATTCAATATAGTTCAAATCCCGGTGCCAGCAATGCCGCTAATGAAATTGTTAATTGCAAATTCAAGTGCAATCCCTATCGCGTTCTCAGTGAAGGAACACATCATGAAGAAACCTGCATATTTTCTGAATAATCACTACATAGTATAAAACATCGTCCCGCTGTCTCTCTGTCCCTATGTATGCCTTGGATCTTTAAAAGTACGCAACGGATCTTGATGCGGTTTTTTTTACTAGATAGAGTGATTCAAGAGGAAGGTTTATATGTAAAATACATAGCACCCGTTCGAAGCCGGGGAGGATCGCTAATAAAAAGATATTTTGATGATATTTCACATATCTCCGCCAACGCGCATTGGGTCGCGCGGTGGACTACTCCGTAACACCCTCTGTGCAGAGGCCTTGCCCAGCAGTGGGACATACATAGGCGATTTTTATAGCAGTTTTTGATTTATGAATGACTTTGGCGCTATGTCAAAGCCGAAGGTCGACCGGGCCTCCGCTACGCAGCGCTTACGGGCGGTTTTTTGTGGACGTCTACGCCGGGAATGATGGATGGCCGCTATCGCGTCCACCGCCCACTCTATTCACGGGCCGAAATCGTTATTAAAGCGTCCACTACGAATTTGGCCGTGTGAATACACGAATGGAAACCGTCCGAGGGGGGATAGGTAAACTGATTGGCACCTCAATTTTTCTGGCAAAAGGGCGAGTAGAAAAAATAGTACCTCATTGTTGTTGTTAATGGTATCTAAGTTTGTTTTTACATTGACCGCCTGCCTGACGTCAACCCTCCTTATGAACAAATAAACATCCGGAAAATTACCTGTGGGTCACACAAATGTGTACTATTCCCGTGCGGGAATCGAACAGAATGGAATAAATTCATCAAATATGGTACAGGTGTTGAAAAAAATATTAAATGTTCAAACCCACGAAATCCCGCGTTGATGCGAAATGGTTAGCAACTGCACCACCTTGTCATCGCCATGACAATGTTTACATACATATTAATCCCCTCACAGTCTTTTTATTAGAGTAACCTCTTTCAATGTAATTCAAAATATTACGTACATCAATGTTGGTACAACTTCTCTACTTTATGATATTAAGGATGGCTGATTAAATATCTAACGCATAGTAACACCAAATAAACAATCTCTTTCCCAAGCCAATGGAGATAAGAAATTAAAAATTCATTCGCCAATAGAGCGCAGTGCAATTCATTTGTTTCGCAAATAAATTTTATATTAAGCAATCTTTAGAGGCACTCGACTCGACGGACACGATTCCACCACGACTCGGTCGGTCCACAGCCGAGCCAGGGCAAATGTTTGAGCCGAAGAGAAGTCTGGTGTCAAGAAAGTACATTAGACGGCTTGTTAATGTATAATAAGTCAATATTTACCGACGGGAGAACACTCGACTTCGGCATGCAAATTTATGCTAAAACGGCGCCAGCTAAGTAATTTGCTTAATGAAAAACCGAGCAGCAAAGAAAGACATCGCCGCTATACGGCGCGAGGCCACCGGCTTTTAGAGATATAAATACGTAATGTCTGATTAATTAATATGTTAACGCTGCCTCACTGAGACCGTGAATGCGCGAACTTTTTCGACAGCAAAATGAGCGTAATTAAAGTATAAATTAAAATATCGCTAGCAGCGTCAAATCAAGCTTCGTTTTGTCCGAATTTTTTGTTGGAACGGACTTGAGAGTTGTATTAAGTACAACTCGGTACGACTTGAACAAATGAAAACTTCAAGACACAGGGTCAGCCTGGAATTTTAAATCAATACTAACTCGATGGTAAGGCTTCCTAACATTCCTATTGCCACTGAGTGTAATGAGTATCACCAGTGATTTATCACGTTTGGATGACGCTGTCTCCCTTTTTTTCTTACAATAAAAATCAAAGTCAAGTCAAAACTACTTAGAAACAAGTGAAGTCTTTACAAAATCAAATCAAAATCACTTAAATTACTTACATTACAACACAATATTACTTGAACACATTAGCATTACAATAGACATTATAATAGGACCTTGCGGTTAGGGTGACTTTTACTTAGTACTTAAAGCTATTTACACGTAGCTGTTTGTGGACGTCTTCTGTATAACAAGGGAACGACAACTAAGCAACACACAACACATGATTGCTGTGGTAGGGCCACGCAACAGTGATCGCTGTTGCACGAATAGGCAGGTCCGTCCGGGTAAGTACCACAACCTCACAGAAGACCGGCGTAAAGTAGAAGTGTTGCACTTCTTCGTCTCGTCTGGTGAATGGTAGCCGGGGCCCACTTTGTTAAAAGGTGGCAACGCATCTGCAACCCTACGGGTGTTGCGAACGTCCATGGGCGGCGGTTATCACTTAACATCAGGTGAACCGACCGCTCGTTTGCCACTTTTTAACATAAAAAATAGGCTCATTCGTGTAGCAGCCATTGTTTTGAGAGCTCACTCTACTACACAAACAAACTATAACGAACGGGACTTTGTAAGCTGGCTGAGAGTGTAACAATATCGTTGTCGCATATTCCATTATTTATCTCTATATTGTCTTTCGCTTACGTATACTATAAATAGCCGTGCAATTTAATGTACACGAGGAACCCGAGTTGAAATCCCGTTGCCATCATCCCTCTGTACGGAGGAGGCTTTTGTTCAGCAATGGGACTTGTGTAAGTTGTTACGTTACGTTAGTATCGTAAATTAAATGATTCAATGTAACCTATCCACTGTACTACCAAGCAACCGCGGAATAGCGTTCCGCAACGCGTCTAATCTCCCGCCAAACTACATTGTTCAATTATTCAGCACATTCCACGTTCGGAATACACGCGGCACACAATGGCACGGCGCATTCAACAGCTTTGTTTCCCCCGCCACGTTTTGAAGTTTGGAATTCGCTATATTACAACGCTCTGTACGATTTCTAGACTGTGGCCGTATGCCGTTTCACGCGGATGATATATTTCGCGACTGCGGTTAAGGAATTCGGTCGTACGTTGCGTACATAACTATGTTCTGCATACCTCTGGATCGTATCTTTTATATTCGAAGTAAAACTTCTATAGACACTTTGGGCAATTTGAAAAGGAATAACTCATAGGTCTGCGTCACCGATATGCAAATGTCACGTGTTTTTTTATTCGCGTCAGTGGCGTTATAATTTTTATATAATTTGGTTTTCTAATATTTAATCTCTGTGAAACAAAATTCTGGTTTGTCGTACATTTTAAAATTGCTCAAAATTATTGTTTATTATTGTCAATTGTTAGATTTGACAGGTCTGTTGCATTATTTAATTGTGTTGAGTTAATGCTTTGTAATTTTAATTATCATACTAGCATTTAATTAAAGTTAAAAAAATAGATCCGGTTTTAACTTCTGTCCGCAGTACCCTCGTCACTTATTTTCTTTCACTTGGTTTTTGATGTCACATTTTGATGAAAACGAGAAAAAAATTTACCTAATTGTGAACGACTGCTGCCGCCCATTTACATCTCTAGTGGTTGAAAATCAAATTCATCATCTGAAAATCATCTGTATGTAATCAAACCCATTGAAGTACGAACCAAATGTAACATTCAAATATCGTTAAAAAACGAATGAAGCAACATAATGAAATATAAACATGGGTGAAAATTTCGAATGCATTTGAATCAAATATTAATCCGTACCCAGCAGTTGGACATTTCTGAATTATAGGTTGCTCTACTTTTTTAAAGACAGTAACAAATTGTATTTTACTAAAGCCTCTACTGGCATCGATGATATAAGTCGTGAGATACTTAGACCAATAGTATGTTCAGTCTCTTTAAAAAGGCTTATAAGGTCATTCAAACAAGTGGTTACTCGTTTGAATAGATTATAAGTCTCATTAAGTAACAATGCGCAATGCGAGTTAATTTTCATTACGGTCAGTACAGAATGTTGGTCGTTGTTAATAGTCCCGTGCCCATATGGTGACGGTATATAGACTAATATAGAGTCGCAGCGCACGGTACTGCCCACAACCAAATAATCGGTTATCGGAATTGAACGACTCTTTTGTCTCCACTGCGCGCCCCACTTCGTACAACGCTCGATCAGTGCGCGATTACCATTCAATGAAATCGTCTCGCTTTGACACTACGTCGGCGAAATTTAAAACGGCGAGCTTTCGTCGGATCCCATATTGAGATTTGGTGGAACGCGATTTTCTTTGAGAGGCTGCTATTCAAAGGAGAACATGGGATATGAATTGAAGTGTGCACTCGACAACTGAATTCTAATTTTTCTTTTATTTTAAAATAATTACCCTAGAGTGGAGGGTTATATCGTCGTGTATTGTGTAATGAATTATTGGAGGTCACATAAAAATTATTCTGGGCGGGAGCGGAACCTAAACCTGAAGACTTTGGCTGAATAACTGCACCTAACCAGCAATCAATAATAATGTACCAAAAATAGGAAATCCATGTAAAAAATAGGAAATAATAATGTACCATTACGTGTGAAATCAAAATGGGATAGACGATAACTCAATTGCGATGAGCGCTTTGAGTAATACCAAATAATTACCTTTGAAATCAATCTGAGGCAGGCGATAACTCATTTGCGTTGAGCGCTTATATTAACACCCAAAAAAGGTACAACTACGTGGGAAATAAATATGAGATAGACGATAACTCACTCGCGTTGAGCGCTTTGAGTAAAACCAAGTAATATACAACTACGTGTCAAATAAATATGAGATAATAATATTAATAATAATCGTTTATTTGTCTAAATATACATACAGTGCACAAAATATGTAAAGAGTAACATAAATTAAAAAAAAAAAAAATATTTAGACAAAATGGTTAAAGACTCAAAATTGTAGCAAGAAAGGTACACCAACTTTGATTCTGTCCTAGCCAGATATAATTTACCTAAAGAACACGCTTTATAATAGGTACTAAAATATTGTACATTAACTATTAATATTAATATAACGATCCAATTAATAACTATTAACTATTATATTTAAATGAGTAAATAGAAGATAACTCACTTGCGTTGAGCGGTACGGCGGAGGTGCGGGCGTGGTACGCTCCCGCGCCGCCCGCGTACACCGCGTGCCGCCCGTACCCCGCCAGCGTGGTAGCCTTCGACCCCCTCAGGCTGAAGCGGCCTCGCGGCCCGTCTACCCCTTCCGAGAGCCCATCCCCACCGAGCACCGGGCCCGTTTGAACTGCGGATTGACTGGACGCGGTGGCACTGGTCTCGATCTCGGGTTCCTGCAGCAACGGATGATTTACGGTTTAAATACCACGAAAAATATGTTAAGACTAAGTTTGGGAATTGAAATCTCTATTGATTATTATAGAGTTCATATGAGATTTCATTCAAATCTTCATAAACTACGTTGATTACGTATGTGGTTAACATATACATTCGAACGAGATCAAACTTACAAGAGCAATTATGTAGAGGAAAAAAGAAATAGATATATAAGGATGAAAAAGGGATAACACGTCAATAATATGAAAGGTATTCATATAAATCGTTTAATTAAAAGTTAGATATAGTAGAACTAATGTCACTCCAATTTTAATCGCAAATTTTGTTATAAAACGGAATAAAGAAATTTCATTCATAGCAAATACTCATGTTTGAAATAGTATGGTAGAACTTATTTAAAAAAAATTAGGTTCAATATAAACATGTTTGAAAGTGTTGGTTTCGTGACTCGTGACAGACTATAATTTACAATTTAACACCGCCGATAATCACTGAGTGTCGACATCAAACAATGCGTAACTAATTATATCATTATTCCACCGTTTACTGACAAATTGTTCACGTTTAATTTGTGAACTCACTTTCGGGATTGTCACGTTAAAGTCATGCTTAAAGATATAGTTACATATTATCATTGTTAATCTAACATAATTATTTATTACTTATTATTAGGATATATATAGAGAGCCGTAATAGCTCAGTGTCCGGGCGCTCGTCTTTAATTCAATAAACCTGAGTTCGATCCCCGGTGCCAGCACCAATGAAGTTTTTAACTTTAAGTGCTGACTTATAGACTAAGACGTTGAAGGAAAACATGGTGAGGAAACCTGCATATTTTCGAAATAATAACAAAAAAAATCGAAGATATGTGAAGTCCGCCTATGATGACTATGCCCTGATACCCTCCGTATGGAGTAGGCTTTTGCCCAGCAGTGGGACATGTACAGGCTGTTACTTAACTTTTTACTTTTTAATTATTAGGATGATATCAAAAAATAAGTTCTAAGTCAATGTTAAGCGCGGAATTTAAGGAAGGCAACCGAATATTATTCAGCATGCTCTAACTTTGAACGTTTCAACACTTTCAGTTTCATTAAGGCTCTAAAAGGCCCAAAGTTTACCTTAGCGGTCCACAAGACCTCAACAATAAATCGACCCTGATGCCACTGGCGACTGGTTACTCCAAAAATAACACTCACAAAGTATTTGGTGCCATTGCTTCAAGTGATAAGTTGACACTTTTTTCAAACTAAGTAGAAGCATAATGAAAAAAGTTTTTCCTTCACAAAGGTCCCTTCTTACAAAATGATAATAGTGGAATAAATAATAATTACAATAATGATAATAACAAGAAAAAAAATTACAATAATACGATCAGAGGATGTTTCCTTTCTATTTCTTGATTGCGCCACGTAAAAAGCTCTGGGTGCGTCGTTCCGGTGTTGTTTCCGTTTTCTTTTCCGGTTCATTAAACATGGAATTCGTTTAGTTAACTAAAATTAAATAAGAAATGTTCAATCTCTGTTTTTTTTTTTTTATGTATTTAAAATACAGTACGACTAACTACCATTAAGGAGTATTAACAGACTTCACTTGTTATATAAAAAATAATCATTAACTTCGTTAGTGCGGCCATCTAAAATATTTTGGTATAATGTTAAACTAGAGTTAAAACCGAAATCTACAAATGAAATAACAAATAGTACTCACAATAGTACACAACTATATGACAAAAGCATTTTTAAAAACAAGTATAGTTCTCGACATTCAAAAAATGTAATTGTGGCAATATATTAAAGTTATAACCCAACCGGGAATACGTAAACGTGGCGCTCGTAGCACAGAAAACAAATAAGCCGGGTGGCATGTGGTGTCTACGACTCTCATCAAACTTGCACGCTCGTAGCGGCTACGCGACTTACTGGTCTACGTGGACCGCTACAAGAATGTGTACGTAACAATCTTAGAATAATTTTGTATAAACTAGAGCTCCAACGGTCGTTATTGCCGAATATCTCTTTATAGAAAGCTTTTTACCTAGATTTATTCCCTGCTCGTAAATGGTTCTTTTTTCAATATTTTATTAAGAGGGGGTTAAAAAAAGTATTTGTAAAAACATGACTTCACAAGATGTTTGAGGATAAAAATAATTAAAAGGTAAAAATGCCTAATAGTTTCGTAAGATTTTAAATGATATTTAATGTCATCATCATCATTTCAGCCTCTTTTAGTTCTCTGCTGAACAAAGGCACCCCCACAGACTGCCACAAAGTACGATCCTGAACCACCTGCTTCCATCGAATTCCCGTACATTTGCACAGGTCACAGCTAGTGGGGGATCGTCCTACACTGCGATGGCCGGTACGAGACTGCCACTCAAGATCCTTTTTTCCTCATCGGTTATCGGTTCTACGAGCTATATGGCCCTATCGCCACTTCAGCATTTTTATGAATGAGAGGTTTTTAAGTTTAAAACTACAAAAGGAACTCGTTAAAAGGTGTAAAAGTTTGTTGTTCCGGCTGTACAGAAACTCGCTGCCAATTCTACCGGTAGAGTTCGTAGCGTCGCGACCCTTTTCTCACTCACCGAGTGTACGAAACCAACAATAAAATGCATATTAGATAACGAATTTGTGGCACATACGTGATTGGCTGGAGGTGGCCCGCTCTAGATATTAGCCCTAAGTTATACGGTCCATACAAGTACGCGTTATTATGGCTACGCTGGTTTACGGCCGAAAGCTGACCAGACCTACTAAGCGCTCGCACGCAGGAGAAGGGAGAAAATTCGAGTTATTGCTCGACGCATATGGAATAAATTCGCCAGTTATTTTTTTATCTTAATCACTGAATGGTTACTGAATAAAGCTGAGCATATCGGATTTAATCTTGTAAGTGCCAATAGTTCGATTCAGCCGTCAGTACGAAACCGATACCTTAAGTACGAAAATTGTTGCGTCATACTTTGGCCCTGAACTAGAAACCTAGGTAGCACAAGACACCTTCGTCTAGAAAATCAAAGCTGAAGACGCAAACAGGCTTCTACTGTTGCAGGAATGGGCAGGCGCGTCCGGAAAGTATCACGACATCACACAAGATCGGCGTGAAGTGGAAGTATTAAACTTTCGTGTTTCGTCTGTTGAGTGAGGTAGCCGAGGCCGAGTTTTTTATTAAAGGTTGTCAACGCATCTGCAAACTCCCAGATGTTGGCGGCGGTATACATTCAACATCAGGAAAACCGCCTTTTAAAAATTTTAACGGTGGTAGGGCCACGCAACAGATTTCACTGTTGCACGAATGGGCAGGTCCGTCCGGGTAATTACCACGACCTCACAAAAGACCGGAATAAAGTAGAAGTGTTACACTTCTGCGTTTCGTCTGGTGAGTGAGGTAGCCGGGGCCCTCTTTATTTATAGGTGGCAACGCATTTGCAACACTACGGGTGTTACAATGTCCATGGGCGGTGGTTTATTACTAAACATCAGGTGAACCGCCAGCTCGTTGGCCACTTTTACACATAAAAATACCGCCTGTTCACTTTACACATAAAGACAAAGAAATTTGCACTGCGTGGCACATCTCATGTACTCTTTAAGGATTGCGTATGCCTTATAGCTCTATCTCAGTCCAACAGAGGTAGAGGAAGCCACCGGATGAAAAAATAGGTAGTAAATATATAGTACGGTTGGAAACATCAACACGGCTATGCCGCAACACAGATCGCGGCAATCGAAATGGAAGCGCCAACCGTACCTCGGTCGCGGTTTCCCGCCACTGCGAGCCGATAATGAGCACGACGGACCTTTTTGCAGCTTTTTAATCTGTAACATCCGCCCGACCACAGATAGCGAAAGTGCAAAACCCATTAGCTATTAACTTGACAGGAGTCCGCAGTTCAAAGATATACAGTTTTGACCGGAAAAATAATCTCTGTATAATATTTCTCAAAGGTCTTTTTTTTTGTCATAACTTTCCATAATTTTTCGTTAAAATTCACGATTCAACCGCCATTTTAAAGCTTATTTTTGACGCTATTGACGAAAATGTATTCATAAAAAATGCCGTCTGTTGACATTTTGTTTGTAAGTTGAGATTTAGCAAAGTAAAATGATGTTTAATCGTTATTCTTTAAAATACGATATCCATCATTGATAAATACTTAATTGCACATTATTATATAACCATTCGGTGACTGATCATGGTACTGTGGGGATATTTCGCACTCTAATTGTGTATTTATTAAAATCAACCTCATTTTTAGGGTTCCGTACCCAAAGGGTCAAACGGGACCCTATTACTCCGCTGTCTATCTGTCTGTCTGTCCGCCTGTCACCAGGTTACATCTCATGTACTGTGATCCTTCTGTTACCACGCTGTATGACTTGTGGTAGTTAAACAGTTGAAATTAACAGATGATGTATATCTATTGCTGATATAACAACAAATACTAAGAAACAGAATATTTTTTTAGGTGGAGCTCCCATACAACAGACATGATTTTTCGCCGTTTTTATGGATTTTTTTTTTTTTATGCGAAAAGTTGTCAAACGAGCAGACGGTTCACCTGATGTGAAGTGAATACCGCCGCCCATGGACATCTGCTACACTCGAGGGTGATGCGTTGACAACCTTTTGAAAATTGGGCTCCGGCTACCTCACTCACCAGACGAAACGCGAAAGTATTTGTCATACTTCCACTTTACGCCGGTCTTCTGTGAGGTCGTGGTACTTACCCGGACGGGCCTGCCCATTCGTGCAACAGCCGAGGCTGCTGCGTGGCCCTACCACCGAAGGTGGCCCTACCACCGATACTTGTACGGAACCTTAGTGCACCAGTCCGACTCGCACTTGGTTGGTTTTTTATCAATTGTACACCTTTCAGGACTTAAAATCTACTGCCAGATTAATGTATAAACCAGTCCAGTGAAAATTGGGCTAAAATGTTAGCGATAAATGTATCGCTTTAAACTTGTAACAAACTATAACCTAGCATTCCTAGCAGCGCTGGAAAAAAGAGTCAGTTAAACTTGTTTATACAACAAAAATAATTTGTATGGCACATCGGTGAATTTGCCTTATGCTTGTGACGTTCTTGTGTGCTGCATTACAATTAAAATGTGTTCTGTGTATTTTTTTGACGTTTTCAAAACATCATCGAATTTGTACATTAGAATACTTAAATTTTAATAGATTAGACGAGTCGTACTCGCATTTTGACAAATAAATGATAACGACCTTGCAAATGATAAATTGTTGTTTACTTCGAATGTTCAGTCAGCCTGTTTTTGTGACACTGCCCTATTAAAAAAGAGAGATAAATCTTTTGTCTCCCTCATGTAACGAAATGTGCTTAAACGTGATCCTTTTTTGAAATTTCACTCACGATACTCGTTCATTTATGGAATTGCTATCTATTTAGTTCAATTTAAAATATACTTAAAAAGCAGAAAACAATAAAATTGTTTAGTCTTATTGTTTTGACCTAGTCTTTAGCATTTTCTCATTAACTAGAAAGCATACATTAATGAAATACGTGCTTTCATTTACTCTAATGTGTTGAAGAAACAATATTTTCGCTTTAAGCAATACAATTTTGATTAATGCTACTAATGAGAGTTAAGCCATGTTATGTGGATTTCAATAGAACGGCTAGACAAGAAATAAACTTATTTATTTTATTTTATTTTCTACCCATACTCTACTTTTCCTAAAAGAGATCCTAGACCAGCAGTGGGATGCTTTACATTATATACCAGTGTCTAATCTGAATCCATCCTCCTATCGCTCTTATCGCTAGAGATCACAAGGGACAATATAAAAAAAATTATGTTATATAAGATATAACACGTACTATAAAGGAGTGCAAATATTGACACATCAAAAATTAAACCTTTTAATTTTAACATGAAAAGGGAATAATAAAAGTATGTTTACCGCGTCCAATGCTGGGTGACGGGACGATATTCATTTATCTATTTGTAGGGTTAAAATCATGCGCAAAATATTTTTAATATAATATATAAAATTCTTGTGTCACGGTGTTTGTAATTGAACTCCTCCGAAACGGCTCGACCAATTTTAGTGAAATTTTGTGTGCATATTGACCAGGGTGGAGAATTGGACAACATCTATTTTTCATCTCCCTAAATGCTAAGGGTGGTCCACCCCAAACATTTTTGTCTACCCTACAAATAATCTGTATGGCAAAGCAACGTTTTCCGGGACCGGGCTAGTAATATATATAATAAGCGGAACACAGTTGACGAACACAATAGACGGGAGACATCGAGCACAGGAGGACAATAAATACGCACCGCCAGAACCACGATTTCATTCCGCCCGATTGATCGCCACAATAAACCTGTCCGCACAGCACAAATCAAACGGCGAAATCGCACGTAAACACAAATTATCGCGCGCCAAATCTATCGATTAGCATTCGATTATCGCCAAACTATGGGCGCCGACGTTAACGCAATCAATTTATTTACTGACGAATCGCGCGGAATGCCTTCCCTTTGTTGGCGTCGCGCGGGGGCCGCCCAATAAAGGAAATGAATTCTTCCACCCGAGAACAATCGTCCGGATGGCCTTTCGCGAACAAACGGGCCTTATTCGCGTACATTTGACGCGACGGGACCGTCAACCGCCATTAATACACTACGCCATCGGTACAACGATTTCGTAATCTGTCACACGAGCTCCCATTTGTATACTTGCCTGTTTAATCACAAAAATTGAAAATAACAAATATCGCTAAAGACAATACATTGTAACTGATCCGTACCGCATTGATGACTATAAATAACTTGTGCGAACGAGATATGAAAACTGTCGCGTAAACAAAATGGCGTCGACCGCGTTTGGTAAGTGTTTAATACAACACTGGGTCACTGCTATGCTCTTATCATTTGATAAGCAGTTAATTAAACAGGCGGTTGCGTACAGGTGACTGTATCTGGAAGTATTCATTGATAACGACAACTGATGACATTCGAACAGACGTAATAAAATAAATATAATTATGTTTATCCTTGTATCCTTTTCCGTAGTTAGATGTTTTTTACCTTGGTGAGATTTTTTCATAAAAAATATGAAACATAAGTCATATTGGCTTCGATGTTAATCCGGATAGTAACACTTGTCCTTAATTTATCGGTTCTTAAAAGAAATATGCAACGTAAACGTATATATTTTAAATGCGGTACATACGGGCCACGCATAAACCACCGCTGTTTCACAACAGGCAGGCTCATTCGGGGAAGTGTCACGGCCTCAGAGAAGACCGACGTGAAGTGGAAGGGTTATACTTCGTCGGTTCTGCGTTTCGTAATGTGAGTGAGGTAGTTGGGGGGCCCACTTTATTAAAAGGTGGCAACACAACACTGTAAATGTTGTAGATGCCCATGGGCACTTATCACTTAACATCAAGTGAACCGCCTGCCCGCTTGACAACCTTTCACATAAAACAAAAAAAACGTACAAGCAAATGTAGTTCGAACAATAATGGCATTGTCCATAAAATGTAAGTTTTAAACTCATCAAAATCGTAGATTCATGTAAATGTAAAAATGGATACTAGTCGTGTCTAGGTGTTTATATATGCATAATATGTATTTATTTACAAAAGAAAAGTATGTTTAAGTTTTCTAGTACCCATAGTACAAGCTTTGCTTAGTTTGGGACTAGAGAATGTTGTGTAAAAAATGTGTCCGAAATATTTATGTGTCCAAAAACTGACGAATAATATCATCATCAAGATAAACTGGATACAGTAAAAAGCTACTTTACAGACTTTAAAAATTCATTGACCATAAGAAATCTACATCTTTACCGAGTAAAATATGCCATATTATAATTAAAAAATTTGAGATCCCTATCCAAAATGGTTACATGGTTGGTTACAATGTTACCCAAGGTATCAAAATGTTGCCTACTCGTATATATAAATCATTACTTTGTGTGCTCTGCGAAACGCAATATATTTCAAAAATATCGATATATCGATATTTTGTATTAAACATATCGATATTATCGAAATCGTATCAAAAACAATATTTTTTTCAAATTCGAGTCCGGGACAGAGTCCATACATTCAAATATTTAATACTTGACATAATTTCTTTTTGACAACCAGGCCTAAAAAGAACATAGATATATGGTAATTTTATCTTTGATATAATATCATGGCCGAAAATGATATTTTTATAAATATCGATATATCGATAGATTTCTTCACTCTCGGCATCCCTAACGGGCGACCGGTGCCGAGCACGAATGCCCTACATTTTTCCTGCTTACAAACTTCTGCTATGCACCTGTCCGTCACAGATGTTGTTTTCCAAACAGAGACGTCATCCTATACGTCGGCTTTTAGCCTATGAGTAGGGTAGCCCACATTCAATTTCCCTACAACGTGCACTTACTATCGAAAGAAGTGCCTGCTTCGTTGCCATCCCTTTGAACCGGTCAAGTTGGACTCGTGCATGAAGGATTCCGTACCATTATCTATAAAAACAGAAAAAACTCATATCTGCTGTATGGGAGGCCCCTTAAATATTAATTATTTTATTCTGTTTTTTAGTATTTATTCTTATTACATCATCTGTGAAAATTTCAACTTTCTAAGATCATGCAGTACAGCCTAGTGACATTCAGACAGAAAGACAGACAGCGGAGTCTTAGTAATAGGGTCCCGTTTTACCCATTAGGTACAGAACCCTAAAAATGGTTTTTATCAGTATATTGCCGGGTCCTCAGTTTGTATTTACGCAAACAACACACGCTGAATAGAAGCTAATTTACCTGATGGTATGACAATATATTGCTAGATTGTCCGATTGCAAAAGAACATACACAAACAGACAAAAACAAGCGGTTATACAGGAATGTTTAATTCCAGTCTTCTTTAAAAACCACCGAAGACGATCGGACTTACGAGTGAAATTAGACAAAGACAGCGCCCGCAGCAACTGTCGGACCCGTGAAATATTGGAGGAGACGTCCAAGTTCCATTTCGGCGGCCCATATAACAGAAGAAGCGAGTGACGCAAATTGTTTCGTACGGGAATATAATTGAGTTTTGATTATATTACGGTCACATTCTCAAACGCTTGTTGTAGTTACAGCAACCCCATCGCAATTTATTTATTATAGAAGCCGAGTACACTGCAACGCAAAACTAACGGGTCACTGATAAACCTATGATAGTTCCTTGAAAGTGTAGTACACTTTCACGAATCAATTTTACATAGAGATTATGGTAGATAACTTTTAAAATTTTTAAACACACAAAAGAAGGCATATTAACGTTTTGCATACTATTTAATTTAAACTGGAAAATATTAGGTTGTTCGGATCAAACCCGCCCACACAAATATTCCAATAAAAGATATAGTTTTCATTTATACGAACTTGTCGGCGCTAAGGTAACTTTCTCACCTTCGATCATGGTTGCCATCGGTTATTTCTTTGTCCAAAGCTTTTCCCAAGGCAATGGCGTCAGAGTAAGCAACACCACCAATTCTTCTCTTTAACTGATGAAAGCAACCATAATCACACGGATTTAAGTCAGGGGAATATGGTGGTTGGATCCAACGCTCAATCTTATGTTGATCCTTAAATTCAAAGAAAAAAATTCAAAACTGGGTTTGATCCGAACAAACTAATAGTAAAACATATAAAAAGCTCTAACTTGTCTTACTTCGAACAATAAATATAAAATAGAGTTTTTTTGTGTTTTCTCCACGAGACCGTATAACTTCATTAAGACGATGCCACATGCTGAAGACCCAATTTTTGATACTATTTTGTATTACTAACTCTAAACTATCTCGTGCAAGATAGCTGGAGGTGGAACGTGTTGTTTACACGTCGCCCAAGCTCGTCCCATACATGACCTAGGGGATTTTAAATCTAGTTTACGAGCTGACAATTCCACGCGGGTAATACTGACATCTTGAATATAAGCAGTTACTAAATAAACATTATGGCGCCGCGCATTAACGTGCATAAAAATTTAATTTGTACCCATATACACGAAGAAGGGACCAGCATCATAATTTAAAATCTACGTTCTCGTCTCTAAAAGCTCTCAAAGACCCGTTTTCTATCATCACAAAATCCGTACGACTCCAAAGATACTCCAGCCTACACAATGATTTTCCTCCACCGAATGGAACCTTTTCTTGAAAACACGTTTGTTCTTCCGATCGTCTATCATCTTCATGTGCCCATTGTACTTGCTCTCGATAAACCGTAACCTACCGGAAACTCGAAGTTCTGGAAGAATTTTGGACCCATTTGCTGGAGTTGCATTAAGAAGAAGAGAGTTTCCAAGATGTGGTGACTTTCTTATAGCCGGTTTCAGAAATGAACAGCCGTGTGATGCTTCTTCCTGCTTACATCAGCACTCCTTACTATCAAGTGATATTCAAGTAATCAACTTATCACAAATAGCAACATAGTTAATATCGAGTATATAATCAAGTTGTTACCAGAGCATTTTGTTATAAAATGATTTTTCAACTAATTGTGCAGCCAGTTTCCAACTGCTACATTACCACTATTGTTGCACGGTGTTCCTATTGTATTGCTAGAAGTTGAAGTCAATCCCTATCAACACCAAGCAGGACTATAGGAACAACGTCCTATGTGTGTAAAACGATAGATAAATGGATAGACCAAAGCGGACTCACTCGATTAACTATCAGAACACGTCAAAATTAATACTACGTAGTGCGGCGAATTGGCCGAGAAATTAGATTAACGCGAGGGCCGGCCATTTCAATTTTTGCCGGCGCGTGACCGCCCGCGGCTGCACCAGCGCAGAATCGCCAGAGGTCTAGAATAATCCTTAATGGGCATTACCTAGTGTTCAGTTATATTAGAGTTAGCAAAAGTATTTTTAGTAAGTTTCGTCGCGGACGGAAAATTGGGTTAACTAAATGATATTTTCAACGGTATGGCGTTAGGGCCGTTGAATGCTAACCAGCTTGTTAAATTCGTAATGCTATTGGTTGACGACCCGAATGGCGTAGTGGGTAGTGTACCTGCCTCCTGCGCCCGAGGGGTGTGGGTTCGATCCCCACTACTGGAAAAATATTGTGTGATGAACATAGTGTTTTTCTAGTGCCTGGGTTTTTATATGTGTATAATATGTATTTATTTACAAAAAAAAGTGTGTTTAAGTATGTTTATCAGTTTTCTAGTAGCCATAGTACAAGCGTTGCTTAGTTTGGGACTAGAAAACGTTGTGTGAAATGTGTCCTAAAATATTTATTTATTTATTATTGGTTTTAAATTGAACTCCGTGTCTAATCAAGGCTGGCTCAGTGTCATTGTTGCTTTATAAGCGAGTTAATCGCTATACCGCTTTCCGACAGAACGTATGCGTTGCATTTCCCGATACGAATAGTACAAAGATTTCGCTAACAATAAATTTGGAGAATCAATAATATTTCATCAACTCAAAATTTTTAAGAGAAGTACACAACTGTGTTATTATTATATCATATTCGGAAGGAAGATAAGCGTACATGTTTTCCAGGGGAATTCTTTGTGCCACGCAATTTTTGAGTTCACTAAGCACAAGATTTATGCGCAATAACGTCTCTATTGTATTAA